TATATATATATATATATACTTTAAATCTGTCTTTGGCATAATAATTAAGAATAATGATTCCTAATTAATTTTTAAGAGTGTTTGAGACAGCGTTTTGAGTCTCTGAACAAAATATAATGAAATATATACTTACTTTGTCGAAGGTGGCACCCTGCCTGACCGTCATAGCCGTACATGGTACTAGTTCTCCAGCACTGTGATCACAGGGGTCTTGACCAAGGTGTTGAAAACAGAATTAGTGGGGGTGTTGGTAGTCATGTGTCGTCATGTGCATGCCAGCCTCCATCAAAGCATGAATGACATCACCATCAATAATGGAGATAGCTCATCAATGACCAACGGGAGGGGGCTTGTGCGTATAAAAAGAGGAAGAGTAGCCCCAATGCACAAATACGACACTGAACAACACATGGACCCTCTCAGCACAGCAGCTACGAAATACCGAAGCAGTCAAATAAAAGACAACAAGACTTGGTAAGTTTAGAGGCCAATCGTGGACACACTATCTTGTAAATTATAGAATTTATAGATCTTATCCTTAACTTATTCTACAGGTATCACTATGTTACCCATACGTTCTTTGGAGAGAATCGTGCTTATCATTGTGCTGTGGGATCTTTGCAGTTTGTTATATCTGGAAGGATTACCACTTAGGTAAGAAACAATAGGATGCAACATACTGATCCAAAATGTTGGTGTTCTTTTTCGTTTTGTGATTTCAATTCCAATCTGACCACTTCGTATCTCCATCTGCAACAGCAAGAGGTCAATCAGTGAAGTTCAACTCATGCACAACGTTCGGGAGCACAAGGAGATGTTAGAAAGGCAGGACTGGCTTCAGCTGAAGCTCAACAATATCCTCATACCCTCATTAAATGACTCCCAAAAGGAGCAAAAAGGGAAAACCAACAGCCCATCTATCAGACGTTTAAGAAAGGGGGAAGGTGCGACATGGATCTTGAATTGACATTGTCGAAACTGATGTTTTTGAAAAGCGAATGAACTCTAAATAATGAAAAGTGATTTCTCAGTAACATCAGTGCACACAGTAAGTGTAATTTAAAATGTACTATTGTACTTGGAGAAAGAAAGTGCACTGCTTCACTAAGGTATTTTTTATTTATTTTCACATAGTATTTTTATTTATTTGTAAATAATTGTTCTTATTTGTAGATATTTGTTAGTTGTAAGCTATTTATAATGCTCAGACACTCGAGGACATACAAAGGACAATGTCCTTGTAGGCAGTGTTGGGGGTAACACATTACAAGTAACGCGAGGTACGTAATCAGATTACTTTTTTCAAGTAACTAGTAAAGTAACGCATTACTTTTTAATTTACAAGAGAATATCTGAGTTACTTTTTCAAATAAGTAACGCAAGTTACTTTTTTTTTTTTTTTTTTAACCAATGTCTTTGCTTCTGACCTTCGATGATCCAGTTCAACCGTACTAATAAGCACAAATTACTCTAGACGAACATTTGAGTGTCTTTTTTTATTGCTGAAGTGTGTTGAAATTTCTTCTTCTGCATTCTACAGTACGGACGTACATTTACTTTCCCTTCAGCCTGAGGCTTATTCATTTCACTTTTGGTGTGAAAAGGCTTTTATATTTGCCAAAAATAGAACTTTTTTATTTTAAAAACAAACAAGCAAGCCCTGTCCCGATTTAAAAAGTAATGTAACGCATTACTTTTCATAAAAAGTAACTAAGTAACGTAATTAGTTACTTTTTTTACGGAGTAACGCAATATTGTAATGCATTACTTTTAAAAGTAACTTTCCCCAATACTGCTTGTAGGCCTCTCTGTTTTCACTGTTTTTGTTTCGTTGTAGCACCGTACTGACTCTTTAAATGTACTTTCAATAAATATTTGTACTTTTTTAGACATCCAACAATTGCAATAAAATGTGGACCAACTGGATGTTTTTAACTGTCCTTTATATTACATACACAGCAAATCGACCTACCATCAACACTTTCTTTCTTTCTTTCTTTCTGTAATTTGCTCAATTTTATAAAGCCCATTGACCACATGACGCAGTTCTCGCGATACTTTAGTGAAGTCGCGTTTCCTGTCAGCCGTTGGTGGAGACAAAATCGCCTTTTCAGAAAACCTGATGGTCCTCTTCAAATTTTGATGGTTATTCTTTTCTGCTTACCTCACGAGAGAACACCAGTAATTAGCTATTTTACAAACTATGCTCACGACGCTGTAAAAAGGTAAGAATTTGTTTAATTCATAAACCAGACGTCTGTTGTTGTTTTGTTGGTTAGCTTCGGTGGCTAGCTAACGTAATAGTTCTGTAACGTCCGCTGAGGTTTTGTGTGTGAAGATGAGTCCGCTGCCTAACAACACACGAGGCACATAATCACACATTTAATTACAAATCCCTGTTTAATTAACGAGTGAAGCATGACAAATAACGCTTTTTGCTTTCGTTCTGTCTTTATTGTCATGTATCGACTCTGGCAGGATGACACACCATCCGCGAGACGGATGTCAGTCCTGGGGTTTTTGGATCAGATCTCAAGATTTTTAAAAACCATTTAAAATAAATAATGTTATGAAATCTGGCTATTTACATATATCTTCCTCTGGCCTTAAAATTATATGTACTTAACCCTCTGATGCATGAATTAATAGTTTTTCATAGGAAAAACAATGTTTATTTTTTCTTCAAAACAACGCTGTAATTATTTTATTGTGTGTGTGTGTGTGTGTGTGTGTGTGTGTGTATGTGTGTATTATATACATATACATATCTAAATATGGTAGGTGTTGTTACCAGAACTTTACAGTACATAAATAATACAGTTTTAGAATAAACGGTTACACTTTACTTGAAGGGGTGTGCATAAGACTGACATGACACATGTCATGAATATGAAGGTTTTTTATGCATGTTTATGACAACTGTCATTAAGTGTCATTCGCTCAGTTATGTCATTTTTAATGCAAAGATGACATTGTTTGAGATGTCTTTGTTATGGGCTATGGTTAGGGGTAGGGTTAGGTCAAATAATGTCGTCTTTGCATTAAAAATGACATAACTGAGCGAATGACACTTAATGACAGTTGTCATAAACATGCATAAAACCTCCTTCATATGATTATGAAGGTGTCATGTCAGTCTTATGCACACCCCTTCAAGTAAAGTGTTACCGAATAAACTACACATAAAACATTAGGCCTACATAAGTTGTCTTTTAAAATGTAGGATCATTTTAGGTTATGTGGTAACGTCGACTAAACAACATGTTTTAACTATTGTGTATACTTTTTCCTGTTAAAATTACTAACCTTCTACAGTAAGGAATACAACAAGTTCCCATTCTCTTTTCACTAAATGTTGTGTTCGCAATATAATATATTGTTGTTCAATATTTTTGGGGCGCTTGCATCAGAAATGCTGAATTTGTTCAAATGTCATAAAGAGAACAGCTATGTAAAATTATGGGAATGGGTCAAATGCAAGTCATGTCATGGTGGTTTGGTTGTAACATTACATCCTGAATGGTTCAAAAATGCCTTTTTGTTGATCAAATTCCACCACACGCATCAGAGGATTAAGCCACACCTGAAAATTATGTAAATATTAAATACTTAAACATGGTATATAACGTTTAGAAATGTTTAATTGTGACTTAAGTGTCCAAAAATGTAATTTGAATGCCCAAATGTTTGTTAGCAAAGAAACGTAATGTAAAAAGCGATTGCTGTGTAAAAGCAGTACACTGGTTGTTAATTAATGACATTATATCAGGTTTTGAGGAAGGAATCCGAGTGAATGGTCTGATTGTACGTTTGAGGCACAACCAGCATCACATGCATTGTGAGAAGTGTGTAAACACTGCAGATTACTCACACACTGCACAGGATGTTAAATGTAGCAATTCACTTCCTTATAAGTGTTTACTAAAGCTACTGGTTTATCACCTTGAGTCACTTAACCAACAGGTTTCAAAGATTAACTGTTTGTGGTTTTAGAGACTTTATAAGACCTTTGATTTATAATTTTGTGCAGCAACAGTGTTTTTATTTACTACACTGACTCTTCTGTTATCTAGAGTAGAATATATGGTGCTTGGCACAATATGTAGGAATGACAAACTAGCCAAGGGTTTATCAGAAGTCCTCAGCTATGTTATTTGCGCAGTGCATGGGTGAGGAAGAAAGGGGTAGTCTCTGTCTCTCTGTATTTGTTGTTTTATTTTAAGGGACTGGTTTAAATGGACAACTATCTTTGGAATTTCCTGACTTCCTGAGCTTTCCAAAAAAAAAAACACTGGGCAGAGGGAGTGGTGCTCTACACAAATGTCGGATTCATATCCCATCTTAATGGTTGTCCAGTAAGTTTTAGGATTAAGGCCCAATCCCAATTCTACCCCTTAGCCCTTCCCCTTTCTCCTACCCCTCCATTTCGCGCGTTCATGTGAAGGGGTAGGGGTGTCTCGATTCTCTTTTGGTCGGAGGGGTAGGGGGAAGGGGAAGGGCCAGACAGCCCTTCAAACGAAGATTTTTCGGGACCACACTTCAAACAAAGGGGTATGAATTATCTCAGTGTAAACCGGCTTCAGGGGCAACATGGCTGCCCGAGCGAACAAAAAGACATAAATGTAAGCATTTTTGGCATTAATAAAGATTTTTACGAAAAGTAATCATTTGTTTTATGTTACATTCAACCGTGAGTTCATATTTACGGTCATGTTACTCAAAGAAATGTTTGCAAAAAATCGTTAATATTTGCTAACTAACGTCATATCATTACAGACTGCACGATAGTTCCACAACATATTTTAATGTCTGATCAGGGCGATAACCACCGTAGACATTGAGGGGGGCTAGTACCCCCAATAATTAGAAAGCGCTAAACCCTTTTCTCAAATATTGCCGAGAGAGATGAAAGTTGAGAGTGAGTTTACTTCAAAAACAGCGATTTTTATTCTCTCGTTGCGATTCAGTTTTTAAACTGTTATTAATAAAAGTCGTGGGGCAGCGTTGACAAGTGTCTTTTCTCCTTGATGTGTGAGCTGCACGATCTCCGATATATAGGTGTGTGTGTGTGTGTGTGTGTGTGTGTGTGTGTGTATATATATATATATATATATATATATATATATATTTATTAAAAAAAAAATTTAATCCAATGAAATGGTGAAATGCTGGTGAAGTAAGTAGCTCTGGAGATGAAGTTCATGTCTTCATATAGTTATACACGCTTGATGGTCATGGTGTTTTCAGCATCTGCCGTCTATTCCAGTTTAAGACATTTCATGACAACTGAATTCAAATGAGAGATGATTTGGCCCCCTATATAGTGGCTCTATGAAGTTCAAAAATATTTATGCAAACTTGTTCCTGTTTGCAGTAGCGCTACTGTGCTGTAACATGCTGCAGCTGTAGTACAGCTGTACTGGTCAACGCTGGTAAAATGATACTACCTTCAGTGACGCTAAGCTCTGCTCACATGATCTGATGATAATAGCTTTGTAGGACAATACATTATTTGGATAATTAGTCCAAAAAAAAAAACAACTTATGTCTGAGTCTGTTACATAGAAGTGAATAAAAATAATATATTTAATATTAAGGTAACACTTTACAGTAAGGTTCCATTAGTTAATGTTAGTTAATGTATTAACTGTCATGAACTATATATTTATTACAATATTTATTAATCTTTCTTAATGTTAGTTAATGAGAATGCAGTTGTTCACTGTTAGTTCATGTTAATTCAGAGTGCATTAACTGTTAACAAGCAGAACTGTTGATTTTAATAATGCATTAGTAAATGTTGAAATTAAGCATAGTATAGCATTGCATAGTAGTGGTGTCCCAATTCTTAGGGGAATATTTTCACCGCTACCCCTTGACACTCTGTTTCAAGAGACAAGGGGAAGGGGTAGGCGGAGGGAAGGGGAAGGGGTATAAAATAGAATTGGGATTGGGCCTAAATATGTTTAACACATAATTTGGCTTTCAAAGTATCTTTACCATGGTACAGTGATATATCAAATGGTCATTTTTTTTATCAAATAGTAATAAAATAATGGTATTTTGATATTTACCATGGTACTACTGTATGATTACTTCAACAATGGACTACCCAGAACCATGGTAGTACAATAGTTCTACTTTGTTCATTTATGTTCTACTGGTGTGTATGCACACAATGAGTCAGTAGTGTCACAAGCATCCGGGCCCAGGCCCCGTTTCTCCTGTGTGTTACACAGTTGAATTTACCCCAGGCACTTCCTGATCAGCTGGAACAGAAGTCGTTCAAACACATCCTCTCTCACACCCGTGCGCTCGCTCTCATCTGCTGCCTTAATTTACTTTGTAAATCTGCTACATTTCTGCTTGAGCGTCTGGCATAAACAATAATCATAAATGTGGTGTTGTGAATTATGCTAAAGGGTGTCTTTGGAAAGTTTATTTATTTACCACTTCAGTAATTATGTGCTTGTTTTACAGCACACTTACATACTAGTTGTTTGTATGTGACAAAGGGTGGTATTTATGGTTACAATATAGGCCTACAGTAGCAATCCTTTTTGTTCTGAACTGTCTCATGTAAAAAGTTCTGGCAGTTAGTAAGGTATTATTATTTTTAGGCCCTATATGAAATGGGTTCTTCTCCCAGTTCTGTTTTATTTTAATTTTTTTACACAAATTCTATTTTCTCCATTTGAGTTTTTCTGCATTCTGTTTTAATGGTTTAATTAGTATTTAATAATCAAAAATCTTGTCTAATCATTTGAATTCATAAAACTTCCACAAAGTTAGTGATGAAAATGTTAACAATTTTCTGGATTGTGTGTTTTATGATTTATTACAAATTTACAAACTAATACTATGATAACGAAAAAAAAAAAATAAAAAAAAATAAAACCGTAACCATAAATCAGCTTTCTCTCCCTGAGCAAGGCAGCAGCAGTTTACTGAAATGAAAACATGAATGAAAAACTATTTTGATTGTGTGATATTCCTTAAAAATATTTTATTAAATTGTATTATTATTATTATTATTACTTTGAGAAGTACATTTATACATTAATCATACATTTCTGTCATTTTAAGTTAAACCAAACTTTACATTTGACAGTTTGTAGTGTAGAACTTTGTGTGTATGTATGTATGTATGTATGTGTGTGTGTGTGTGTGTGTGTATCCAGAATTTTCGGTTTCGGCCCAGAATTTTCATTTCGGTGCATCCCTAGAAAAAAGTGTCTTGTCTCAGTCAGAGTTACTTTAGGATAAATGAGATACTATTATAGTTTTTATTAATATTTTAAATTAGTTTTTATATTTATATTTTGTTAAAATTTTTATTTGAGTTAAAGTTATAAGTTTGTTTAATAAACTTTTGTTTTTGTGTTTTTGTCAATATTTTATTAGTTCTTGTTATTTTAAAAATGTCTTAGTTTTTAATTATTTAATTATTACTTATAATTGATTATTTAAATTGTATTTATTTTAGTGCATCAAGTTAAACTAAAACTAAAATGATAAATGTTTCTTTCATATGTAATTTAAGTTAATGTCTATTTTTTTTTCAAGTAACGAAAATGCTGTTTTTATGGTTTTAGTTAACTATAATAACTCTGGTCTCAGTTTTTCTACGCAGAGATGTGAACAATCATGACATTAGCTCTCTGAGGTGTTGTGGAAGCCATTTCACCTTAAATTACACTGGGAGTCTGTTTCTCTCGAGAGGCTGAATTATGACGCTGCGTCTTGTCTTCAGAGGTGTTTTTAAGGTTTCTCTCTCTTTTTTGCTTCCTGCAGTGGCCAGATGTATTAGACTGTCCAGGTGAAAATGAACATGCATGGTGCCAGTGGAGGCTGTGACCGATCCAGAGATCGACGTCGCTCCAGTGACCGCTCTCGGGACTCCTCACACGAGCGTGGCGAAGGCCAGCTCACACCCTGTATTCGCAACTTGACCTCACCCACACGCCAACACAACAGTGGTGAGAAAACATTTTTTTGTCGTTTAGGTCCGATGTGGCTCTTCATTTAAGTCCCATGGTTTGTCATCATGTCGTATATGTGTCATGTGTCCAGATCGTGAAGGCGGCTCATCGCGGCCCAGCAGCCCCAGGCCTCAGAGGATCTCTCCCAGCAGCAGCAGCAGCAGTGGGGTGGCCAGCAGCCGCAACAGTAGTTTGTCCAGCTCAGAGGGCACATACAAGAGCATGGGCCCCGGTGAGATGGTCTTCGTCTACGAGAATGTCAAAGATGGAGCCCGCGGCGTCCGCACATCAGAGAAGGTGACGCTTATTGTGGACAACACTCGCTTCGTGGTGGACCCCTCGATTTTCACAGCACAGCCCAACACCATGCTGGGCAGGTTAGAAGCAGACCAATCATCTGTCAAAGAGTTCTGTCTTGAAGGTGTCTAATCAACTTCATGTCATGTAACATTGTTTTGTCTGATCCGGAAAAAAAAACAGAAAAATACAAATGGGGTACAAATAATTTTGTGATCTAATCACTCAAAACATATTCAGAGGCTATTGAAAATATTTGTGACCACATTTGTAGCGCTAATGCTAATCTGCCTGGAGGTTTCCCAGAAAAACATTTTGAAATGTGATCTGAATGCATATAAGACACCTTACTCAAGGTTTTAAAATCAATTTTAAGACTTTTTATTAAGACCTGCACAAATAAAATGAATAGCGTTTGCTCATTCAGAACGAACCTGTAGTCTCCAAATAAAACTGCACGTTTAAAACACTTAAGACATTTTTAAACATATTTCAACAATACATATTTCAATATGTATTGAAATCAATTTATATTCTACATGTGTCAATAGGGCCTTTCGCACCGCGGGAACCTTTTCATAGTACCAGAACTAATTGTGGAACTACCCACTTTTTGGCGTTTTCGCACCGCCGGAACTGGGTGCGATTTTAGTACCGGACTGCCTTTTTCGAGAACCAAATTAGCTCCTACTCCGGAGCAGGGTCTAACCAGCACAACTGGTACTACCCGTGACGCAAGTAGACATTGATTGGCCAAACGCATACGAAAACGCCCTCACCCAATGATTTAAAACATTGTGTCAACTTATTTAGCAAGTATGGAGAACAGCGATAGATGGACAGATGCTGAAGTGCAGGCACTTGTAGCAAATGTAGCACTGCCAGTTGTTGTTGGAGATTCTTAGTCCTCCTTTCCGTTCTTTCAATCGCTTTATTTATACGTAGACATTCCATGTCCATTATTGTGAAACCCGCGGGACACAACAAACAAACAGCTCCGATCACAGCGTCATCCATCCTCCTGTTGTTAACGTTGTTCTTCTTTGTTTCCGTTGTTGAACGCCGCGCACAAATGACGTCGCTGTCGACCGGCTTACGTCACTTTCTAGTACACACTGTCGGTGTGAATGCAACCCTTTAAATGGTACTGGGAAATAGTTTGCGCAAAATCGTCCCAGTACTTTTGTACTGTACATTTAGTTCTGGAACTAAAGCGGTGCGAAAGGCCCTAATACATACGAATTAGGTTGATCAATATTGTATTTTTACATTTTTGTAATTAAATTGTTGCTGCATGCAGTTTCACATTGGGCCGTATCATAATTCCTGTTTCTCCATCCTCAAATTTAAAGGGGTAGATCTCTCAAAAACAAAATTTGGTCATCATTTACTCATGCTCATGTTGTTCCAAACCCATATGACTTTGATTAATCTTCAAAACACCAATTGAGATATGTTTTAATGAAACTTGATTTCTGTCCCTCCATATAAGTCCAAGAAACCAAAACTTAAGTGGTAGTTCCCTTGATGTCTATGCAGGGTCAGAAAGCTCTCGGATTTCATCAAAACTATCTTAAATTGTGTTCCGAAGATGAGCGAAGGTCTTAACAGGTTTGGAACAACATGAGAGTGAGTAATTAATGACAGAATTTTCATTTTGGGTGAACTATCCCTTTACGTTTTGGTTACTTGGACATTTAGTGGAGGGACAGAAAGTCTTATGGGTTTCGAATGACATGAGAATGAGAAATTGATGACGTAATTTACATTTATGGGTGCATTATCCCTTTAAGACCTCTCAAAATGATATTGGTGCCTTTTGTTACACCATTTAAGGCTTTATTACCTTAAATTTGACCAAACTGAATTTAAGACATTTTATCATCACTCAAGAATCAAGAAAAAAAATGACATGAGGAAGAGTAGATGATGACAGAGCTAACCCATTAACTTATCTCAGCCTTCTGTAATCTATTTTAATACATTTTCCCATTGTTGTTTCTGAAAAACATTTCTGTATTTTTCTGTAGAATGTTTGGATCTGGACGGGAACACAATTTCACCCGGCCCAATGAGAAAGGAGAGTATGAGGTGGCAGAGGGCATCAGCTCTACTGTGTTTAGGGCCATTCTGGTAGGTCATTGTCACTAGACATCTCGCCTTTACTGTCTCACTGCACACACACACATTAAAGGGGTCATGAACAACCTTTTTTACAATTTTGTACTGTTCTCAGAGTTCCACTTATAATGTTACCAAGATTTTTACATCAAAAAACATAATTTAGAATAGGCTATTTTCTGTCCTGTTTTGACCCCCCTCATTAGAACACACTGTTTGAAAAGGTGTTTGTGGTTTGTAGACTCGGAAGTAAACGCCCACTGATGTGATTGGCTAACATTGGTATGATTGCAGTTTTTCATAGATGGACAGGTTAAAAATGCATAAATACTCTGTTCATATCAAACAATCTGTAATAACAGATAAAGCAATAGTGATCACGTAATAAAAACAGTTACTCACACTTGTGTGGTGTGGCATTACTGTCAGATCATATCTATTCAGCACAGCATCGTCTTTTAGTTTCAAACTTTTGTCGAAGTGTGCCTTGTTTGTAAACGGAACTGCAGTAAAATGAATTGAACAGAGAATGAAGTTCTTACTGACCGTCTGGATCTGGACATTAAAAATAAAGTTCATCCACTCTTTCCTAATATATTGGGATCAGAAGGAATGCAATGCAAAGACTGTTTTCTTCTCGTCTTCTGAGCCATCCTTATCGTTTGATTTCTGTGTAGACCTGCGTTCGCCTCTCTTGTTATTTACACTACATGTGCGAATCGGTGGGCGGGGCTAAACAGACAGTGCTGTAGACGCAGGCAGGCGTTGATCATCTTTTGTGGGGGTGGTGTTTAGCCACACTATTACGTAATAAAGTGGCACATTCCACAACCTGTCGTTTTGGCAGATTGGCTTCAATATAAGCTGTTTTTAGACTAATGAGAAAGTTTTGAGTTCTGAAACTTATAGGATGTTGTTATAGTACAATGACCTCTTATATGTCTTAGTTCATGGCCCCTTTAAAGCGAGGCACACACCAGACTCAGACTCGGCAGACAAAATGCATATACAGAATTATTAATTTTATATATGATACCTGTGCCTTGTTCTACCCGTGGTGCTTCTTGTCCCATGTGCGACCCACTTAAGAAGCTCCAGTCTATCACAAATCCTTAGCTTTGATTTCAGAAACCGTAACATTTTTTTCAAGGATATCCCAAATGGACTCATGTGTTTGACAACAAATGGCAACATTTTAAACTTGTTTATTTGGAGACAGTGCACTGATAAAGTCTAATAGTTTGCAGGGGTATATTAGTGTTTAAGACAGGTCTGTGGTTTAGTCACTAGCTTTCACTGTGGGCTGCTTCGGCTTGAGAACATCTCATAATGAGCTTCCAGCAACAGCTTTTAAATAATGATGTTAAGCGCAGCTTAAGCCTGTCATTAGCTTTGCTGTATATCCTGCTGTAATGATCTTTCACTGCAGTGTCTGTTATGTGTCTCAGGACAGTGTTTATTATGCTGCTGTAGACAATCGATAAAATCAGATGAGTGCATTCAAACAATGGCACTGACTAGTAATCCAGAGAGAGAATGTGTTGAGTGTGAGAGCTTGAACAGAGAAGCATGCTATTTGCAGGATCAATTTGAATGCAATACAATAATTACGTTTTTTGTGGAAGAGGGGATGAGGAATGGGATTTGAATCTGCATCACCTTTGTGAGCTATTTGGCTCTGACGTGTCATGGACATATGGCCTACTGCATACATTTCTGGCATTAAAATGATGTCTGATACTGATAAGCTGAAAATAATTTTCATGTAATGGACAGTAACTGATAAATGGCTGATATTGAAGTTTTATGCTTTATTTTTGAGTGGTCTAAATAAAACAAAAAACATCTGAAAACAAATTTTAAATGCTGCAAGTGAACTTGGGCATCACAGCATAATAATTTACAGTGAAAATTAGTATGAAAATTGGATATTCATTATGATATTTGCTAAAAGTTGTATTGAATTGTTATTAAATTATTAGAGGTTATAAAATTGAACCTTGAGTGAGTGATTATTGATCATTTAATTGTAATTTAATTAAATTGTGGTGTTAAGTCTAAAATGTTTTGAATAAAATCATTAGCACTTCTCCAGTTAGCTGAATCTGGCCTACATCCATGTGTTTTTAAGTGGTGTAGCTTCTGTAATGGCATCTTTTGTGTTGTCTGTTCTGTCTCTAACTGGCAGGATTACTATAAATCTGGGATAATCCGCTGTCCTGATGGAATCTCCATTCCTGAGCTGAGGGAAGCGTGCGACTATCTGTGCATCTCTTTTGACTACAGTACTATCAAGTGCCGAGACCTGAGTGAGTAATTCCTGAAATGGCCTTCCTGATACACGAGATTCATGTTAATGGAATTGTTCACCCGAAAATAAAAATGTCATGACAATATACTCCAATATACTACACATGACAATCCATACGGAAGTTCTAAGCGGCCATTATTTTTTCTCCCCTTCTTGTTTTCTCGTTATAACGACTTATTTTCTCGTTATATCGACATAACGAGAGTTGTTTTCTCGTTATAACGACTTAATTTTCTCGTTATATCGACATAACGAGAGTTGTTTTCTCGTTATAACGACTTAATTTTCTCGTGATCTCGACATAAAAAAAGTTGTTCTCTAAGTTACAAAACTGCGCCAACAGGTGGCACTATTGACCTGAATGGTTAATAAGCGGGGATGTTCTGTTTATCTACAGTAGGACAGGCTTCAACGACGTAGGCTATTTGTAATGTGCCTCTTTTTCTTATTATTAATCTTTATTGTTAATCATTAAATGTATATTGATAAGAAATGTGATTTATATGTAAAGTGTATAGGCTAATTTAATTCAGTGATGTTCTACAGTGTTGTAATCTTTTGTGCTTTCTACATTTCTTTGTGGAAACCACACACACAATATAATTTTCTTTCAAATAAAAGGAAAATTGAAAGTGAGTTGAATCCAAGCAGCTCTAAAAGATTTTAGAATAGTTCTGCATCCTGAAGGCGCTCCGCCTGTGTTTGCGGTGTTGCTTTGACCATTTAAACATGCTAATTACACAAACAAAATGTTTAGCGTACTATCTCTGGAAATATCAACCGTGATTGATCAGCCTTTATTTTTGTATTGTAGACGTTATTACTAGGCGAAGCAAAATTTGCTGAAATATCCACGACCTAGGCTACAGTAAGAGCGCATGGTTTATCTGTCCATCAGATGCGTGTCAAAGTCAAGTTCGTTACTATAACAACAGTAGATCAAACAATCATTGTAAAAAAAAAAAAAAAAAAAACTGTCGTTATAACGAGAAAACAACTTTCGAGAAGAAAACGAGAAGAAAAAAAAATATTGCATGGCCGCTTAGAACTTCCATACATCCAAGATGTAGATGAGTTTGTTTCTTCATTGAAACCGATTTGGAGAAATGTAGCTTTACATCACTGCCTCACAAATGGATCCTCTGCAGTGAATGGGTGCCGTCAGAGTCCAAACAGCTGATAAAAGCATCACAATAATCCACACCGCTCCAGTCCATCAATTAAATTTCATGTGAAGTGTGAAGCTTTGTGTTTGTGAGAAACAAGACCATCATTAAGGCATATTAGAGGATAGAGGACGATTTCTCATTTTTGGATTAACTATTCCTTTAATCTTCTGTCAGTGTCCATGTCAGTACTGTGATCTGACAACTGTAGGATTTTAACATTGTTTTCTGCCTCATATTTCACAAAATGCCAGATTTGCCTGCTTTGGTTTTCCTCAGGTTTTTGTTTATTGACCCGGTTTGTCTCTTCAGGTGCCCTGATGCATGAACTGTCCAATGACGGCGCTCGGCGGCAGTTTGAGTTCTATCTGGAGGAGATGGTGCTTCCTCTGATGGTGGCAAGCGCTCAGAGCGGAGAGAGGGAGTGTCACATCGTAGTGCTCACAGACGATGATGTGGTGGACTGGGATGAGGAGTACCCACCTCAGATGGGAGAGGAGTATTCACAAAGTAATCACACACACCTTTCTGTAACATCTTAAAAATATTTTAGAAGTGTTTGCACACCCAAAATATTTTACCCAAACTGAAAAAAACAAACAAACAAAAAAATCAATTAATTAATTGATAAAAAAAGCATGGACTAAATTATGGATCTTGGGATTTAAGAATCCGTATTGGTTCATCAAAATTAAGATTGATAGAAATTGATATTGTCAACCTACTGTATTTCTAGTGTCCACACAGCTGACATTTTTACCTGTTGTTGTCTAACATGCCATTTCAGCGGAATACTTTTGGTTGCTGAAATTTCAGTGCATCACTAGTGCTTTTGTCTGTGGCTAAAGCAAATATATTAAAACAAATATATTTTTCCCCTTTTTAGTCATATACAGTACAAAACTTTATCGTTTCTTCAAGTACATTGAAAACCGTGATGTAGCCAAATCTGTTTTAAAAGAGCGAGGACTTAAGAAAATTAGACTGGGTATCGAAGGTAAGAATCCTTTGTTTTGCATGCTGTTTTTACAACATTATATGAATTTATTCAAATATGCAATCTCATTTTAATAATTCAAAGGCATAGTTCACCCAAAACTTGTAATTCTCTGAAGTAGCAATGAATCAAATATGGCAGCAGATATCAGGCTTGACATTTGCTCACGACAAATCTGAGAACCAAAGATGTTTGTTATTGTCTTCAAATCTGATGCGATATTGATATCTACAAAGCAGGATGCCTGATGCCCGAAATGCAATGAAAGCCAATGAGATGCACACAAATTTGCTAAAATGAAATGTGAAATTATTTTACACAACATTTATTCAAAATTCACTACAAATGTGAAAACCGTGTCTGATACTCATTGACAAAGCAGAGTCATTAGAACTGGGTCTAGACATAATGGCCAAATATTGGCTGATATATCAGTCTTCCTCTAGTCGAAAGGTGCCATATTTGATTTGAAAGCTACAAAGAAGGGCAAGATTTAGCATGAGGGTAAATATAATGACAGATTTTTAATTTTAATGAACTCTTCCATGATGGTCATGACCCACATCAGAAGATCACAACTTTTTGAGTATCAAATCTGCATCTGTAGGTTATCCAACATACAAAGAGAAAGTGAAAAAGCGCCCCGGCGGTAGGCCTGAAGTCATCTACAACTACGTCCAAAGACCCTTCATCCGCATGTCCTGGGAGAAGGAGGAAGGCAAGAGTCGACACGTGGACTTCCAGTGTGTGAAGAGCAAGTCCATCACGAACCTGGCAGCGGCTGCGGCAGACATTCCCCAGGATCAGCTGGTGGTGATGAATCCTGAACCACAAGTGGATGAACTGGACATTCTTCCCAACCACCCTCCCCCCGGCCACAACTACAGCAACGAGCCTGACCCCGACGCCCCCTCGCCTGCCGTCTGAGAGCAGACGCCCCTTCACAGCATGCTGCAGCATGAACCAGAGTGACACTATAACCAGATTGCCTTCTGTACCTCCTCCACAGCCTTAGAGCCTCAACTGTATAGTTACTGTATTTAAAAAGAAAAAACAACATCATGGACTTGGGATACTGGCATGGGCAGTGCTCTCGTGTTCTGTCTTCGCTGTTCTCTTTTTTTTTTTTTACTTGACCAAAGGAAATGTATTTTTGTTTGTTTGAAATGAAGTTTGCAACCTCACTTATTTTGTAATTGGGCGTATTATATGATTATAACTATTATTACTATTGGTCTTTTCCATTTTACTATATTACTGCAATGAGTTTAATTATTATCATTTTGATGTTCTTTTCATTTGATGCATTTGGGTTGGGTTCTTTTGGAAAGCTCTCCTCTTGATCTCCTCAAAGCTCATGTGTCTCCTCAGGAGGTCCATTTGCCTGGTGAACAAATGCCGTGTTTTTTTTGGGATCGACATTAATTTATCTGCTCAAGATCTGTCTGTTCAAGTGCTTGAAAATCATTGTATTAATAAAGATATATAATATAATGTACAGCGTTTGACATGAAGTTTAATTTTTGGTTGCTTTTGGTGTTTCGCTGATGGGAAAGATTATAATAGAAACTGTTATGATCGTGTAACACATGGGATAAAAATAGTTCCAGTTACAGAATAGATGCAGAGGATTTGAGAAACAATATACATTGCAATACAATAAGCTAGAGCCATTTTACATAGCAATCAAGTTTAGGAATACTTGGTATTCAGTTTAAAAGCAGATCTCAACGAAAAAAAATATGCACATTTTATACTTGCAGAGAATATAATGTCTAAATCAATTCATTGTTTGTGGCCTGAGGCTACAATTCACATGGATCACCAAAATTGGATTAGTAAGCAAATATGCAGAAATACAAAAAAAAAAAAAAAAAAAAGAGGTGGATATAAAAAAAAAAACATCTGTAAGCCCAACAGGATTTGTGGCATTTAGTTGTTTGGCATTAAGTGCTCCATTCTGTAGACTGAAACAATATCCTTAGATACCGTACCAGCACTGATAATGGTGTGTTGCAAGAAGATTGTGTCCCAACCAGGTGCTATAAACCAATTTTTGTCCTCAATGAAAGTGAAATAATGACAGTATCACCTATTTGACACCGTGTGCCGCACACGTCCTGAAAAGTGAAGCCGATGTAAACGAATGGGACTTAAGCCAAACTAAAAAAATAAAAATCGAATTACACTTAAAATAAACTTTTCCCCAAGATGGTTTCCATCATTTCAGGTAGTTTTGTGTGTGTTCATTTTTCTATTTAGCTTGCTTTTAGTTCATTATTTGATGGTTCGTTAAAAACGGGAGTGTGAGCTTGCGATTGGGCCTACGGGAATTTGCGAGGAACTTTGATACCGCAGCTCCACCTCACGATCAGTACTTTGCAAACACGGGCTCCAAACGAATCACTACTGTGCAAAATCGGTCTCAGAATGATGTCATTTCTGCAAGATGACAGTGGCCATAATGGGATTTTTTGCCGTCACTTTTCTACAGCAGAACAAAGTGGAGATGTGTCATCCATCTTTTTTTACAGTCTACATTTGGCACATTTGAACATACAGCTGTGGAATGAGGTTGTGGACCAATACGATTTTGCTGTGGGTGGAGTTACCTGAGGCACCATGACAAAAACAAATGCAATGACACCAAAAAGATTGTCAGGGTCATAGCTGGTTTGAACGCGGTTGAGATGGATTGTACACATGATCTGTGACAGTCTCCTTCAGGACTCTCACAGTGGCCAGGGCAGGTCACTGAAGTCTACGGGACCTCCCAGACCTGCGTCCGCCTCCAGCAGGCTCATGATGATCGCCATGGCAGCCTCATCACTGCTGGAGCCCGGCTCATCCATGATGTCACCGATACCGATGTGTGAATGATCACCTGCAGATCAGAGACGGTATTGTGAACCGTTTCAAAAGCAACACTGACAAATCACTGAACAGATCACCTTTACAACTTACTTAAAATCGAGCTGTTAGAGTAAGGATATCCTATGCTGTCCTGGCCCGACACCATCCCTGCTGAAGGAATGTCTGGAGTTCCACCATTTGAAATCTAAGCAGTTAGAAAAAATAAAATCAGATGCTATTACAATTAGTATTAATGTAACATTAAATATGTAAACATCTAAATATGTTTGTCAGAGACTGCACATTAAGGCATACCCAAAAATGAATTCTCACATAATTTACTCACCCTCATGTTAACCAGAT